AACCGGTTGATTTTGGAATTTCCGTCTTATTCGAGAATCTAGTTTCCAAAGTTACCGAACCGACTTAAGGTCTGTTTTCTGTGGCTAGTGAGTTACACTTTTGGAACTTGAAGTGAGATAGGTATTTGTTGAGAGTGTTAGTGTGCAGTCCAGTGCAGGGACAGAAAACAGACCATTAATGTCTGAAATTATTTAAAACTTGAAGGAGATCCGAACATTAAAAAGTTATGCCGGCAAACCTCTCTCAGGGGAGATTAACTAATAAAGTGTTTTTCTCCCCCCTCAAGGAATATCGCGAGAGATTTACGAAAGGCTAATTGTGTGTCTCTTTACATAAATCTTCCCCTTCCCCCTTTTGTAATTGCTTCAATAAATATATCGGTCCTCGTGAATTTCAGCCGAACGTCGCGAATTTTTATTCCATGTCTCTCTCTCTGGAATTCCGTTGGCGGAAATTTTACGCGGAAAACTTGAAAAAAAAAAAAAGGCGCGGCCTCTAATTTAAGAGCTCCCTAATCTCTTCCGCAATTAAAGTGCTACGCCACGTTCGTGAGAAAATTACGCGTAAAAGAATTCTCGTTAGAGCTCGTTCTTTTTGCTATACCCTGCCATCTCGTTATTCTCGGTCGGCGTTTCAGCGTCCACGCCTCTTTTTTAACCTCTTGCTCTACGACGGCTCTTAGAAAATTCAACAAAGGGCCTGGGGTGCTTAGCGCTCGAGTGAAACGGGTCAAACGTCGCCATACAAGAGTGATGACGTACGAGACATAATCGTTTTAAAACCACTCGCGCGTTTTAATTGGCAGCGATTCAAAGATCTGTCGTACCCGCATACGTGGTTGTCTTCTGTTGCAAAAAAAAAAAACTCGATCATAAAATACAAATAAAATGCAAATTGCTCGTGGAAGAGATGCCATTATTGCGCCATTAACACATCTAATTAACGGGGTGTTTCTTTCGATCGTCTCAATTGCCACTTGCGAAAGTACTTGAGCCTTTTTTTTTTGTAAGTTTTATCTCCTTACACATCTACACAGTTTACGCTAGTGTTATATATTTTAAAAGAGTGTTGTATACTTTATTAGTATACTTTATATCATAAATATCACAAGTAGGATTTCATTTTAGGAGAAAGTAAGCGCTACGCGTGTGCCGGTCGAAAAAGGGGAGAAAAAGAAAGAACACTGAATAAGTGACTAAAAAAAATTAACAATTAAAAATAAAATAAAAAAATTAATTCGGATGACGAAGTATTTAAAGCAATTCTGTCCTACTTCGCGAACTACGTATATTTGTGCTGCTAAATACAATTTTCTATAAAATTTGTAACTCTTATTAAACCGAGTTCTCTGTTGTTTTTTTTGGAATACTTCGTCACCCGTACACTTCGATGAAGACAGTTTGATAAAAAACCGGTTAAAAATTTCATTTGCTTATGCTAAAAATGCGAAATGAGCGTGGAAAAGTAATGAAGAAATAGGAAATAAATGTATCAGTGAGAATCGATCATGGCACAGTTGTCGTGTATCGCGTGAGAGAGCGGGCAGTGCGAGTTGTATCTTTCATTATACACATATGAGTCCGGTCTTTGCTTTGCCGGTAAACGAAATTCCGAAATCGCTGCGATGGTTTCCTTACCTTTTCGGACACTTCGCGAGGTCCTTTTTCAGGTGGCCTCCTCAGTGTCCCACGATCAGCATTTGCCCGTTAATCTCTCTCGCTCTCTCTCTCTCTCGACCGAATCGATCGATCTTATCGAATCGATCCATCTGTTCTCTTTCTTTTTATCTCTCTCTTTCGCTCGCTCTCTCTCAGATTTTTCAATCGACTATTCAGTACGAGTCTTTCGCTCGCTCTCTTTTCTACCCTTTTTACCCGCTCTTTCTTTCGCGCAGAAGCTCTCTATGGAACAACAGGAGATCTGCGTGAGACACGATCGTTGCATCGATATGTTGCAATTGTCTTTCTTTTGTTCTGCTTTTGTGCTTTTCGTTACTTTCTTTCCCATAGTAACCGAACCCAACACAACGGCCAGATCGTCCAATCAGCGAATTTTCCAGCTCCTTTGTATGCGGTTCGTTTACTCGTCGTTCGACGACTATCGCGTTGTTTCGGAGCGCGTCCACCCCTTCAACTTCGCTCACTTTGCATTCGGAGTCCCACCAACGTGGATCTTCCCTTTTCTTGTTTAACAAGACTGATTTTAGGGATGACAGTACTAACAGAGCGCGGATTTGCAACAAGCACTTAAAATACGACAGCTCGACATGACAGTTCTGAAATCCACGTTGGCAAGCAATCCTGATGCGCCTCTCTCTCTTTTTATTCGCTTTGAGCATTACAAAGATCCCCCGAGGCGGAAAAATCGGCAACGATTTTGTCATCCGGTTTCTGAAATTCATGACGTGTTAGATTTAAAGATTTGAGAAAAGTGTCTTTGAACTTGAGAAAAGTGTCTTTGAATTGCGGAATTCTTGCTTGAAAATTTACGTAATTTTACGAAACTATCGCGAATAGGAATTCCATTGGTGTAGTAAATCGACGACGTCGCAAAAAGGTCCGGCTTTCAAGCTTTAATTGAGCCATTAAAGTCGCAATAAGAAGGCCCGCTTGATCAAACGGACGCTATTATCGAACCGGAAAAAAAATCCGAAGGAGTAATCACTGGCCGTGATTCAAGAATATAATCCTATTACGTCCGAAAAGCAATATAACGACGACAGAGAAAGATGTGTTATCTTCTCGGAAGCGATTACTTTTGCGTCGTCCTTTTGACAGTAGCCTTAAAAACGTAACAAAATCGCAAACGAAGTCTTCCCGTCAGCTGTATCGATTCATTTTATAGAATGATGCAGTGAAATAAATACAGACTTTCGTAGAAAAGATTTTCTCGATTTTCATTAAGTAAGATTTTCTCCATTCGCGCGCATTGGCGTAACACTAAAACGATGCATCTCGAAGACGCGGTTGTCAGCTAAATGAAGCTAAAACGATGGTTTACGCGACGCGTACGAGATTGGCGCAACCATCGACAAGCTGCTCCAGCTGCCATGAGAAGATAATTAATCGAGTTGTTCAATTAGGCTGTTGTTTGATATCAGCATCGACGCAGCAGATGATGCGGTCGTCGTGTGGTCGGCCGAGAGCTACAAAAATTGAACGCGGTAATCAAAGCCGAGACCTGGCTGTATTATAAAACGAAAATGTTTGAACATTTCTAGTGAGAGCGAAATTATTATGCTGCATCTATATGCAGGTATGCGTCTTTACGGCCACTCTTTTAATCGTTAACTACATATATTATTAGAATTCAGAATTCCGCACGACGTGCCTATATAAAAAAAAAACCCGAGATGAAAGAAACAAATAGATGCAATCATCAATTCGAATTAAGCTCAAATTAATTACTTAATCGATTTAAATTTACAAAATTATTTATTAATTTATAAAATTGTTTATATCATTAAGATATACCTCTACTTATATGATAAAATTTTAAGTACCATTTTTGACAAAACCGTCGTCACATTTTTACCGCCTCGTTTATCTTCGATCGATCCGATAAAGCTTATCAAATCAACTACTGTATATAATAATTGAACGATGAAGCAAAGATAATTTCTGAGCTTGAGATACATTGATAGAAGGTGCAATTACGATTCCTCGCATGAGCGAACGCGAATAAATTAAGGCCATTTCGCGATAGAGAAATAACGAAAGAGGAAAGAAAAAGACGAATACACACACACACACAAAAGGAAAATCCGTCTCGCGAGAGGATCGTCGCGCATTGATCGCGACGAGGACTTTCTCCGGCGTACCGATTTTCACCGGCGAAGTGACCAGCCAATCGGGAACGAGAATTTGTGGATCACTCGAGGCCCTCGAGCAGAGATCAAGCCCCACCAATCGGCAGCTCGCGCGCCACTCGAACGATCCACGAGTGGCTATCAGTCAGATTGATCCAGGCCACGAGAGAAATCTCTTTCTCTCGAATCCCTGCGACCCGAGATCGTCCCCGTCCCGTTTTCCTTTCTCTCTCTCTCTCTCTCTCTCTCTCTCTCTCTCTCTCTCTCTCTCTCTCTCTCTCTATCTCTCTCTATCTCTATATTCGGTATCTCTTCCTCTAGCTCGTGAAATTAACTCGCGTT